GTGATTGTGAAGGATCCCCATACCACTGTCACGAGCTGTACTTACACATTGGGAACTGTTTTTCTCAACATTACTATATGTTTGATAAATCACTTCAGAAAAGAAACCATATCTTGCCAAACTTTATAGAAATAATAATGAAGATGAAATAATCAGAATATTATCAACAATGTTCTGAGTGTAAAAAGTTACCGAGGTTCGAACCCTGAACTTCAGGTTGTAATACTATTGCTCTAACCGATTGAGTTACTTGATCAACTGAAGCGTCCTGGACCAACTGTGCTACCGTTGTATCAAAACGAAACTAAGGGGAGGTCACTCTATATGTAATAAAACACAGTGCAGTGGGACAGGAATCCTTAAATGACGAAGTGAAGGCTCGGAAATTTAATTTAAAATCGAGCAATATTGGATTTAAAGTAATAAGAATAGCATGTTTATTTAACACACTGTAGTTTCCATGGTGATCTGATCAAATCCAACACTTCTCTGTTCATCAATTAAATTTCAGTAGCCTGTGCCAATGTTAACGGACGGGCTATTTTTTATCACTTTGATTTATCAGTTGTAATTTTCAATGTTTTTATAATGAACAGAACTTGATTGTACTTCAAAACAGCAAAAGTTTGACTCTAAAATGTTTGATTCATGTACAGAATATTTGTAGTGTTAAATCCAGACTTTACCGTAAGTTTGACAAATTGACTTTGAAGTTTGACTGTATGTCCCGTAAATTAACAGAAACATCATCCCAGCAAAATAACCTGATAAACGGTTAACAATTTCATCATAATTAAAAAAGTGTTATTACAATGTTTATACATTATAACAAAAATGGTATTAAAAAGTTATTGTATTGTCTATATTGTGTGAGGTCATTAGAACCTGGCATCAAATATTACGCTTCTCATTCCCGCACATTTTCGATACAACTATATTTTCATCATTTCGTCATTTTGCTTTTAAAAATCTAATTTACCACGGTATAGAAAATAAACTGGTTTTCCCATTGAAATATCACATATATTTCACTTGTATACCATCATTGTGTAATACTCATCATACTCGTAAAACATTCGGTGAGAAACAATTAAATATCCTCCACATATAGGTCACAGTGACCTTCACTTCTAGGTCAAAGGTCAAATAAGTACAAAGCAAATATGTATATTGGCTGATAAGTACAATGTACTTATCAGCCAATATTCACAAAAATAATAATGTTAATAATTCACAAAAACTTAAGTTGGTTATCTACTACAGCAGAGAGCCGATTATCTAAACATTACAGGATAGATCTTCAATATAGATAAGTGGTCATTCAGATAACCATTCACACAGTTTTAAAGCTATTTATTTATCATAAGACACGACTGAGCTTTGTTAAGAAGCTTATGTTTAGGTAAAAAGGTTATGTACAAGATATATCATACACTATAGAGTAACATCAACTTCTAGACTTGATTAGATTTTTGGACATTGCCAAGGTCAAAGGTCACATTTGAACACTTTTGAAGTAACAGTTTGTGGACTATAGATATCTCATGAACCCCTCATTACAGATTTTGTTTATATTGACACCATAGTATAGTATCTCGACTATTTCCTGATTGGGGGCTGTGGAGTGTATCTGACTTTGTCTCTATCCTCCAACTGTTGTAAGTTAAATCATGTCTGATAGTTGTCCACTATCTGTTACCAGCTTTATTCCCTCTTAAAGTAAAATTATAAATAAAATTGTATAATCTTATGGGGAAAAAACACATTTCTTTTTCTAGTGACACCTAAAGATACATAGGATAAAATAATAAAACCCTACTCCTAACAGTTCTAATGTACATACCATCTTCTATCTAACCACCATTGTCCAACTATTTAGCCATCAATAATCTTGTTGTCATATTATCCTGCCACCATAAGTCCAGTTGTCTCATACTCCAGCCACCGTTAGTCCAGTTGTCTCATACTTCAGCCCCCGTTAGTCCAGTTGTCTCATACTTCAGCCCCCGTTAGTCCAGTTGTCTCATACTCCAGCCACCTTTAGTCCAGTTGTCTCATACTCCAGCAACCGTTAGTCCAGTTGTCTCATACTCCAGCAACCATTAGTCCAGTTGTCTCATACTTCAGCCCCCGTTAGTCCAGTTGTCTCATACTCCAGCCACCGTTAGTCCAGTTGTCTCATACTTCCGCCACCGTTAGTCCAGTTGTCTCATACCCCAGCCACCGTTAGTCCAGTTGTCTCATACCCCAGCCACCGTTAGTCCAGTTGTCTCATACTCCAGCAATCATTAGTCCAGGTGCCTCGCATTCCTGCCACCATTGTTTGTCCCACATTCCAGTCGCCATTAGTCCAGTTCTCATATTCAAGCTGTCATTTGTCCAATTGTCATTAGTCATTATTAGTCTAGTTGCACCACAGTCCCGCAACCATTTGTACAGCTGTCCCACATTCAATCCCCATTAGTCTAGTTGGCCAACACAGGAATTCTCACACTATAAACCTTAGATCTTAGATACACTTCATTTCAGTGGTTTAGTAACAAATTTAGTTTGCTTTAACGAAATTGTTCCCCACACAGACTTTGATGAGAATGAATTATTAATCACACTAGAAATTATTGACGGGTTTATCTCTGATTATCATAATACAAAAAAATCACTAGAATGTTGAATATATTTTCTCCAGTGATTATGATGATGTACAATCAGGGTAGAATGTTGACTGGTTATTTATTGTGGTCAGTTTTGTTGGTCTGGTTCTGTGTTGTCATGGTAACTATACCTACTAGTTATGTCACAGGAGTCACACACTGCTGTACTGTAGCAGTTTAACATTGCTGTAACCAAACACTGCCCACATGACATCCTCCCTGTTTACACCTACAGCCGATGTAAAGTATGTGTCTGTGTGTATGATCCTGAGGAACTCACCACGTCCACTGATGAGTAGGACTCTGTAGTTGTCCCAGTCCCCTATGATAATGTTCCCCACACTGTCATACACCACACTCTGGGGGTCAAATGGTTCAGCTCCTTTATGTGATGATTGTTTATATGTACTGGGGATGTCACCTCTATATACAAACAGTTCCCTGAAATCAGTGTCTATAACAATAACATGTCGTGTCCCATCACCACCATCACCCTTAATATTCCTATCAACCACTGTGACATTGTGAGTGACAGGACACTCTGAGATCCTCTGTGGTGTACACACTAATGGCTTCCCAGTCCCTGTAACACTTGTAGTGAGTACCATTTGACCTTGTGGGGTAAATTTGGAGATGTTGTTGGTCATCCCTAAAATGACATGGTTACAGGCAGTAACACAGATACACATGGGTGTCTCCTTGGTGCTGAATCTGTGATATAGCTGTCCTGATACTAGCTCCATGATGTTGTTTTCTCTATCACAGACCCACAGTGTGTGTGTTGTTGGTGACAGACTTATGTCAATGATGTTAGTTTTGTGTTTGACCTCCTGTATTACTTTCCCCTTCCTGTCCAGGAGAGTTAATGTGTCACTGTAACAGGTCCACACCTGACCATCAGTGGTGGGGCATACAGAACCAATAACGACAGGAGGCCTCCACTCCTCCAACACTTTGGTCTGTGACAGTAGTTTGTACATAGTCACTGCCTTCTTTCCTTTTGATTCTGAGTGTTGTGATGTAGAGGATAGTTTCTGACCACCAGATGTCCTGACTGACCCATCCTGGTCAGTTGAAGCTTGACCTTGACCTAAGGCTTCAATTTTCCCTAAGGCCAGTTCTAGGTGATGTTGAGGGTTTTTGTTTGGAGTGAAATTGGCAGTACCCAGGACAGGTTTTACGGGGAGGCTTATTTGGGAATGAATTTCACATCCTGTGTCGTAGATTTCTATGTGAGAACCATGCTGGAGTGCTACTTTGCATTCCTGAATTTGTTGTCCGAGTTGCTCGTTATACATTTCAAGGTCCTGTTTGTATTTCTGTATAAGCTTGGTATGATCCTCCTCCGTTTTGTGGTAAAGAGAGAGTGTCTGTGATGTCAGCAAGTCGAGGTCTTGTTTTAATTTGTCTGTTTGCTTTTTCAACTTGTGTGAAAGATCCTCAAAATTGCTCTTGTTGTCTCTAAGAAGTGTATCAGTAGATGTGATGTATTCCCGAAGTTGTACCAGGTCATTCTGTTCAGTTCTGTCAATAAAGTTTTGAATGTCTTGTTTCTTTGTAGGAGTAATATCGCTGAGTTCACAAACATCATGGCCTTTGTGAGTAGATAAATGACATTTTAGACAAACAAGTGTATCACATTTTTCACAGAAAAGTTCCAGTGGTCTCCCCTTGTGTTCAGTACAGGTACGGAGAGGGATTTGACCTATGGGTGTTGCCATGTTGATGAAAAAGTTGTGGAAGAGACAAGAAAGTTTATATATAGACCCAAACAACTGGTCTATTATATATAACTGATATTGAATTACAGTCACAAAATAGACATCATTTTATGTCTCTAAATCTTGACTTTACACCGAGCTCCAATCCAGGCACATGTGTTCATAAAACATAATTGTAAAGACACTAAATCATAGCTACCTGATGATCACTGATGTGGGTTACTAGGAAGAGAAATCCAGGGTTTCCATTCGATTTTCCAAGCCTCAGAATGATAACGTCAAGTAAACACATGAACATATTGTAGTTGTTCATATCCCCAGTATTTGATTCCTTGTCCAGGTATAAACTACTTGTTTTCTGGCTCAGAACTACACGAAATGTTCCAAGGAGACATTTCTGTTTAACGTCAGTTACAAAGTCCAAACTGAACACGCCATCTTCATAGATCTACCCCCGGAACCCGTGATCTACCTGTGCTGACGTGTCTGTTTAGAAAATATTACTTCCTTGTTCAGCGAGGTTGCCGACAGGCCTACAGAAATCATGAAAGGGTAGATTTTGCAGAAGGTCAAGGTTGGTCATGTTTATCAGGGTCGGATCCAGGATTTCCGAGAATTTTTTCTCAATTGTCAACGGTGTGCTGCCGAGCACCCCGAGCGCCACAGCGCGTAGCGCGAAGAGGGGGAGGATATGGGAGGGGGTCCTCCCCCTCCCGTAAGGGGGTTTTGGGGGATTTCCCCCCATATAAATGTGTTTTCTATAACGTCTCAGAAGCGATTACCCGTGTTCTGAGGATGGTTTTTAAAACTTTAGAAAAAAATGTTTTTGTGCATGAAGTTAACTTAAAGATTAAAACCAAATAAAATAAATGGTCAGCGCCTGTTTAAAGAATACTCAGCATAAAAGGAAGACAACTACTAACCTTTCATTAAAATGGAAACGCTGTTGTAAAGACAATCGGCATTCCCTGTAGCTTTCAGGGCTTTCCATAGGGTTTTGTCAATATCAAGCACGTCGGCAGTAATTAGATTCGTGGATAGAATATCCACTCCCCTTGTTTCTACAGCCGTAGCTGAACTAAACAGTTAGAAAGCCCTGATACCTGATGTAAATAATTTCGAACTTGTAAAAGTATATAAGTATATTTCAATTTAGTTTTACTATTGATCACTGTGAGTGTCGACGGACAATGTATTTGTTTTAAAAACAAGGGTGCGGCACCTTTTGATGTCCGCGTTGCATTGCCTGTGAAATATATCCACGAAACACTGTATCAGTTCTATAATGCATTGTTAGGTTCACAGCTTCCATCAGATAAAAAGCGTTTACTTTAAACTTGTATAGCGCGTTGCATTGCCTGTGAAATGATATGTTTAGTCGATTATACATAATATTGTCAGCCGAAAAAAACCTTTATCGTTCTTGTATAATGATATGATTAATATCGCCCGGGCGGTTTGGAAGGTTTCAATAAAAAGTATTAATTTCCACCGAGCGTTGCAAGTTGCAACTTTGGGTTTTGCGGAGGTGCTAAAATAAAAATAAAAACTTTAGGGTCAAGATACAAAGTAGACGAGAGTAGCGATGCGAACGAATATTGTTTTATTAATGAAAATATAGCAAAAATATCAGATAACGGAAACCCACAACATTTGCTAGGATGCCGTAAGGGATTTGTGGGGCGTAGCCCCAGATTTTTTTTATACAAGCTCCGTGCATTATTTGATGCATTTGAAAATGTTAATATGTTCCCATTCCCGGCAGATCAGACCATTTCAGCCCGGCCCGGAAAAGGTCAGTCCACCGCCAAAAGGGGGTGGGGCCGGGTGTGCCCCCCCCCCCTAAATCCGCGCCTGTTTATAGACCGTGGTATTTGGTGTGTAGTGTTTGACAGTTATATGTGTATAAGGTTACAAGACAAACCTGTCATGTCAGTATATAAAACTATGATTATTTAAATGTTATGTGAATTTGTGAACATTGTTTTTCACCTTACATTAAAAACACGAGATAGACTTGTTAATATGTACTACTGTTTATAACAGTATAATTAAGTTTCCGCGTTTCGGTAGTATATATAAGCCGGGAAAATGTTGTATGCGTGACATAGGTCACGTGATACAGGTGAGATCGGGTAGGGTAATAGGGACACGTATCATTATCTAGCTGCCAGCCGTACCGACAACATCACAATTAAAAACAACTTGCAATGCACTTGTATTCGCTTTATGTTCGTTCCAGTATTAACATAAGAATACGTTTACATTCATGTTGTACATCATACTACAGTGGTTATTGGTAAACATTAGATTTCCAATGTTTTGTACATCCTAGATCAGTCCAAGGTTTTCCAGAGTTTTTTGTATCGAAAAATATGATTTTTTAGATCTGGTTTTTAGCCCAGGACTGGATCATTTAATTCATTCTTCATAGTTAACGGCGTGTGTTTGGAGAGATGTGAAGGTGTTGTATTATATGTATTATAGACAAACATTTGCTTTATCACATTGCCCAACAATGCACTAATAAACTCCGGCTACTGTGCGCGGCAGCCTAGTCGGCTGTACGCGGCAGGCTAGTCGGCAAATGAAGTATTTGAGTCGGTGTTGTTTTAATGGAAGTAGATAGATAGAAGAGTTTATACAAAATCTTACACACAGGCCGTTACCGGTGATGTCCCGGTCGTATCAGACAGTACCATAAAAAAGTCCCGTACAGTCGGGTAGTCGACTTCAACATCCCTGGAAGTCAGTCCGCCACCCAGTCTGTCCGTTCTTCCGTAACAGCACCCCAGGAGCCTACGGTGTCCGTGCCATTACAAAAACTTCTCAGTCTAGTCGTGTCCGTCATCGCCAAACTAAATAATGGCTCGAGTTGGTTGGATATATTAATCTACGTATTGAGTCAAGCTGAAACCATATTTGGTGTAAAGCTTGACACTACACAACTGCCCGAAACACAATTAAGTTAAAATGTCACCCAATACCACCACTGGTATAGGTATTCTCCAGTGGAAAGCCAGGAGCATCACTAAAAATGGCATAGAACTTGTCAAATATATTGAAAGTAGACCTGCTATCAATGTAATATGTATACAGGAAACTTTTTTTTTTTTTTTTTTTTTTTTTTTTTT